ATGAAATAAAAACTCAAAAAAGCCTTAATTAAGAAATAAATGGTTGAAACTCTGAAATATTGAAAAGAAAAATCAACGTTCGAGGGCCGTAGGAAGATAAAAAACGTAAAATTCTTCCAATTTTTACAGTTTCTGGCTGATGAATGAGTCATTTTGGGGTTTAATTTAAAGGAAACACATCTGCTCGTTTCTTAACTCGTCATGTTCTAACATGTTGGTAATAAACCACAATAAATTAACTCACCACCGGCGACGGCTCGCAGCTTCTTCAGCAGCTTGACGTGAGATTCGGGTTTGATGGCGGCGCCGACGAACGGCTCGCAGCCGGCGGCGTCCAGCAAGGTGTAGTAATAGAGCAGGCGGCTGAGGTCACTTCCTTCCACCGTAGGAAGGACATATTTGGTCATGTGGCCGTAGAAGGCCTGAGGGTCGCCCCGGAGAGTCTCGAACAGACGCAGAGAGTCGCTGCGAGCTTCGATGTCTTTGGTGGAGAGACTGGAAGAGACGAGGAGAAGGAAAGGTCATGCTCACTGTGAGGAACCAGAGGAAACAGAAGAAACGTTAAATCTGAAACGTGTTGGAGACGAAAACAAGAACAAATGTAAACAGCAGGCCGCCGGAGAAAAGTCTGACACAGAACGACAAAAACGAGACACAAAACAAGAAAAAAACGAGACAGTATAACACATAAGATCTATAGAAACGAGACACGAAGCAACACAACGACAGAAACGCAACACAGAGCGACAAAAGCACACAAACAGAAAATCAGAAAATGTTTTCCAAACGTCACCGCCTGTGACTAAACATGATCTTACGTCCTATACGCGACCTGTGTTTAGAAACAGCGTGGACGCCCTCAGACCTGTGTTGGTTCTGGTCCAGGCCCAGATACCGCTCCATGTACAAGAACACAGGCGACGGACGGCGTTAAGAGACAGAGGCTCACTCTGATTGGATTGGATCTGAACTACTGCTACTTGAAGTTCTAGCAGCTTATGAACAACACACTCATGTGGTTCGGTGTGGATGGATTCTGTTCTATAGACGAGGTGGTGTGTAGAGGGGAGGACGCTGGGTTTTATAAAACTCTGCTTCATGTGGACGAGACCTGAACCGATCACTGATTGAAGAAACATGGTGGAGCTCC